CCAGGAGAAATAAGAAATCAGAGAAGCCTCCAGGCAGAAGAGGGGAAGACTACTTAAGTAACCAGATTGTAGGATCACTTATCCTCAGAGAATCACACAACGTAACAGCACAACTTAGGAAGATGGTGAAAGACTTAGAAGAAAATGTCTAGAAGGGGAGGAGATGGCAACAGTATAGAGAGGCAAAGAGTGGGACGGGCAGATGCCGAGGTGAGCTGATGAGCAGTGCTCCTGGAACAGAGGTGGCGTGGTCTTAGAGCAGCGTGGAGGAGGACCTCAGACTCTCCGGGCTGATGAAATCACTGACTCCTCCTCGGGAGAAGTTTTCATGCTAGAACATTGATAAGGATGGAGAATGGGAAAGTATTCTGATCAATGGCAGCTATCAACTTCAGATGCTTGAGGACACAGCTTTGGCCCCTCCTGAAAAGTAGCATCTATCAAACTGTAAAGTGCTGAGTCAGGAAATCAGAGATTCCCATTTTAATTCTTAATGAAGAAGTGTGACTTCATTTCTGTGACCTGTTCCTCAATAGGGAGAAAGTTTGGTTGTTTTCTACTGAAAGCAATGTGTCTTTGGCAAATAATGACTCCCATTTCCTCAAAAATAAAAGAAATAATTAACAAACAAACAAAACCCCATAAAGTGCTCAGTCTTAAAACAGTCACAAACAGTAAGAGGAGAGACTCAATCCAAAGTTAGGAACTATACAGTTTTTTTTTTTTTTAAACAAAAAGGAATGGTAACTTAATTCAACCACTGGGTTAGTAGAAAAATGGAACTTGTGTCATATGATAGTGATATTTGTTACCAAATTTATCTTCCAAAATCATTCACATCCATATACACATTAATTAGTTCATTCCTTGATAAAGAAGTACTGGGCGCCTATTGCCAGGACTAAGTTACGTGCAGAGGATACAAAGGTACTGAATAAAATCAGGAATCCATGGTTCTGACATAGTGGAGGAAACATCTAAAAATAAGCTAGAATATGTTGTTGTAATCTCATTGAGATATACTAACATGCAAAATGCTACAGAAGTCCAAAGAAGAGCATGATTAATTTAGCTTCAGAATGTCTTCAGACCCACTTCACATTCAGCTGAGTCTTGAAGAACGAGCATCTGACAGGTAGAGAGACACCTTTGTTTACCACCATTTTAGAACTATGACTTTTTTTTATTTGGCACGTTATATGTATAGGACAGTGTATTAGTCAGGTTTCTCCATAGAGAAAGAAGCAACAGGATATGTATATAGACATATAGAGGGGGTTTATTAGGGGAATTGGTTCATGTGATTTTTTTTTATTGAATCATAATTGATTATACATATTTTTGCAATTCGATGTTGACATATGTTGATCAAATCAATATTACTAGTATGTATATCGTTACAAATTGTACTTACTCTTTATGCCCCTTGTCCAATCTCTCCCTATCCCCCTTTTTCTCCCCACTCCCACCACTGATAACCCAAGATTTCTTCTCTCCTTCTGAAAGAGTGATGGTTACTCTGTTGATTCGTTGCCTAGATAATCTGTCTAATGCTGAAAGGTGTGTTCAGGCCCTCCAATATTATCATAGAGCAGACGCTTCTTCTGTCACTCTGGACGGAACTATATTTTAAAATATAAGGTGATAGGAGCTGTTGCTGATATTGTATAACTTCTGTAAATATTATGTATTTACTAAGTACGCTTTAGAATGCACTTCTTTCCATAATCAATGATAATTATTTCAGGTAGCAAACCTCAACAGATTATAAAATATATGTGTGTGTCAGTATCAAGGAAAAAATATCAACTATAATTGTACTACATGTGACTTCATTTTAAAATAAATATAATTGGCTACCTTATTTACTGGAATTATCAAGGTCCCAAATACTAATTTCACAAACTTTATAATTAAAAGTAAAATCACAAAAGGATGTAATTTTTGGAGCTGTTTTTAGCATTTTTAAATGACATTTGGAAGTACCCATACTATGTCAGGTCCAACAAAAAAAGCACAGCATACAACCTATTTTTATCAAACACAGCCTCTTCTTTTGCATTAAAAGACATCTAGCATTTTTAGGTATAACTGCACATTTCGTAATCTGTGTTCTTGTTATCGGCAGTGAAAAAGCGAAGGGGGTGAGACTTTCTCAGCTCACACCATTACATGAAAGTGAGATTGTGATTATAAAAAAAAAAAGAAAGAAAGAAAGAAAAAGAGAGAAAGAAAAAAATTTAAGTGAACACAAAGCATAAGTATCTGCATCCTTGTGTTGTCCTGATGGTGATTAGTTTTGTGCCTCTGTTGTCATCCTGCTTTCTAAAAGTGGGAAGATACCTACCCAAGTCCAGCCAACCCTTGGGGTGGACAGGGAGGGCAGAGGAAGCTGGACTGCAGACCACACACGACTGCAAGGGAGATCTCACTTGGCAACAGAGGTGGGCTGAGGCGGGCTGAAGCAGTCTTACGGGTAAAGTCCCCTGCAGGGATGTTTTACTCTATTATCTAAGCACGTATATGATCACATCGGGAAAAAATTTTGGTCAATGGGCAGGCCTGCTTTTTCCTAAGTGACTTTTAGGCTATAGTCAAATTCAGGGATGACTGTGGTCACATGAGCGGTGCAGTTGCATGGGGCCCTGAGCTCAGCTAAGGCCCTGCACTGGATGCTCTGTGGTCGCCACCTTGGAATTCTTAATAGCAACTGAAAAAGGGGCCCCACGTTTTCCTTAGCGGTGCAGTTGCATGGGGCCCTGAGCTCAGCTAAGGCCCTGCACTGGATGCTCTGTGGTCGTCACCTTGGAATTCTTAATAGCAACTGAAAAAGGGGCCCCACATTTTCCTTCCGTGCAGGGCCCTGCATATTGTGTAGCTGTTTCTCATCCAGCATACATCATCTTTGAAAGAACTCCCAGCCTACTGCTTGGAATGTTTGGTGGTATTCCTCAGTCCAGATTCTGGTTAAGAAGCTAGAAAAAGACCAGAACCTTTCCCTGCTTCTTCACAAGGGTCTAGGTTCTGAGGACAGTGGGTTCTACAGTGGTTTAGACCAAAATGACTAACCTTCTCAACACCCTACCACCCTTAGGAACCTTCAGCCATTCTCAAATCACCTTACAACTGAGCATATCCCAAAGAGACTGGGGATCATAAAGACAAAAGAGAAAGTTTAGATTTGGGTGCTGGGGCTTGTGCTTGAGAACCCTGCCTTTCCTTCTAGATGTTCTTTGAAGGCTAAGCAGAAAAGAGATATTTCCCTAGGGCAGGCTCAGGAAACTGATGAAAGGAAGAAGCAGACCATTCATCCATTCTCTGACTCTTCATGGAAAGGCCTTGCGGTCATTGCTATGTGCATCGGCTCAGAATAGCTGCTTTGTAGAAAGACTGGAATTCCTAAACCACCTACTCTCCCTCAACCTTTTTTCAAATCATTGTCAGGTTATCCTACAGCAGACTGACTTACATTCAAGTACAACTCAAGGTGTGTAAATCAAGGTTGGGGAAGGGCACAAAGTCTCACAACGCAATTTAATAGAGAGGGTTATGAAATAAAACCCCTCTTAAGTAAAAGCCAGAGTTTATAACAAAAATATCCACAGCACTCTAGGAATGGTTTTCTAATGAACTTTCAAATCCCTGGTCTAGAAAGTAAGACTTTTCAAAGAGCCAGCCTTAAGCCTTTTGTTTTGCAAATGGAAAGTGCCCAAAGAAACAATGATGCTTTTTTAAAAAGTAGTAAAATTTGATACCATAGCATTTTCAGTAAGTTTCTGCCCAGCCTGATTCTCATATTGGCAGAATAATTTGATCTAATAAAGACAGCCAGAACCACAGATGTGAAGCCTGGAGACTTTGCGGATCAAGCCCTATGATCACAGACGGTCTGAACTGGATGGGGACTGAAGAGATCACACACTCACCTCTGCACACACCTGCATCCTGCCGCTCCCTCCTCCTTTCCAGGCCAGGAGACTGAGGCCAACAGAGTGCAAGAGAGAGGTCCAAGGTGATCTCCTCTTCAGAAGAATCAGGAGCAAAGCCCACCTCTGCCAACTCCTCATCCATTCTTACTTACATCTACTCTGGAATTCTCACCTACTCAACCAAACCGTGGAACAGCCTCCCAGAAGTTAAAAATGACTCATCATTTTAAAATGTACCTCTCCCTGTTGGAAAAACCAGAAGAGTGTGCCACAGGGAATTTTCCTGCCACTTCATGCTGCCACGCTTTCTCCCACAACAGACCTTTGCCAAGCACCTGCTAGGCACAAGACAGGACTCTCTTGAGGAGGACGGAGAATGGACAAAGCTCCTGTGGGCACTCTTAAGAGTGAAGCACGTGCAAAAGAACACACGTGTACAGGGAGCGTCAGAATGCCACAAGCCCAACAAGAAAGGCACCTTTGCGACAGGAGATGAGACGGAGGAAGAGCGTTTACAGCCGTGGGGATGACTGGAGGCCTCAAAGAGAAGGTGCTGTCTGAGCTGGGCCTTGAAAAACAGGCAGAATTATGACGCTCATAGTGCAGCAAGTGGGGGCAAATCCAGTGGGAGAAAAATAAAGGAAGGAAGACAACTGAGAGGAACGCGAAGGAAGCAGCAGAGACTCACCTGGCTGTTGCTTAGGTTAAATACAGGGATGTATAAATATAAAGAAAAATAAAATCAGGACACCAGCCCCAGGCTAACATTCTCGGGGCACCCTCCTGGGCCAGCTTCTCGCCTCCCCACCCTGTGTAGTCCTCTGGCACGTTGCTGAGCATGACATGCAGGATCCAGTGCTCCACTCACCAGTGTCCATGGCTCAGCGTGCTGTCCACATGCCAGGCACTGTCATAGGCACTGCAGAATCAGCAAAGGAAAGTGAGTCTCTGACCTTGTAAACCTCCTATCCTAAGTGAAGGGAACAGCTCACTGATAAATAACGAGCATGTTCTGTGACAAGTGCTATAAAAAGAACAAAGCCGAGGAAGTGGACAGAGAGAAAGGGGAACATTCAGGACAGCGCTGAATGAAGAAAGTATGACCAAGAGGACGCGTCCGGTGTCAACACAAGGGAGAAGCCAGGCCAAATACCAGGAGACGGCATTTGTGTCCCACTGGGAGAGCAGTGGGACCAGCGCAGTGACAGCAGAGGGAACCAGGGGAGAGTGGCCTAAGAGAGAGCCAGGCCAAGACCACCAGGGCCTTACAGGTCACAGAGGGTGGGGGCTGTCTCTTCCTCCATCAGGGCCCCTCCACCAGGGCCTCCACTTGGGGGAAAGGGTAGGAGATAACCCATGAATGCCACAGGCAGTGCTCCAAAGTCAGTGGCAAGGACTTCAGAGCCAGAAAGTCAGTTACAAGGAATCACAGAAGACCTGGGTGAGGAGGAGATGGCATCGGCCAACACAGGGCTCCCTCGGCCTTAAGAAATAACAAATTGCAACACTCCCCACACCTCATGATGAGAATAATTCACTGCTGCAACTTTAGAAAACACAGAGAAGTAAAACCCAGTCCCACACCACGATCGTTCCATTTTGGTATCAGCCTTTAGCCTTCGCAGCCATCCACACACGCACGGATGAGAGCCTACAGCAGAGCCTATGCTGTAATCATTTCCTCATAATACACGCCTCCGAAAAGTCCCCAAATCATTAATTATTGTTCCACACATAGTTTAACTCCATAGAATTCTATAATACAGATGCACCGTGACTTATGTACACAACCTCATACTGTTGGAAATGTACTACGTACATGATTCTGAAAAATCAATTCAGTGGGATGTACACTAGGTAGCCTAAGAAGAGGTTAGTTTAAGAAAAGAAAATCAGGGGACATTTGTAGGCAGAGGAAAAAGAGAGAGCATAGAAGGGAAGTCTGAAGAGGCACCAAAGGTCCTCTGCTGTGAAGTAAGCTTACAAGTCTGCTCTATACACCTGTGCTCCTTTGATGTTGTGCATGTGAAAGACAACAAGCTAACACTCCTAACCAATGCTTGAATGCAACACACACTGTATCACAGACCAGGGCTGTCCCTCTGCTGTCCTGTCCGCCACTCCCAGATTGCTCTGCCTTTTCTTTCCTAGGTCTCTGACCCAGTGGCCCATTCTTTCCTCTCCTTACTTCTCTCCCTGACATTTCTCTCTTCGTTCCTCCCCTTGCCGCTTTAATTTGAACAGGAGCTGCTGTCAAATAAAAAACTCTGGCTGTGGATTTAGCTGACAAAATAACAAAGTGAACAAAGATTTATATAAGAGTATTAATCACAATGCTATCAACAATTTACATGGAAAAAAAAAAAAACTATTCCCAGTGTCCTTAATGATCAGGCAAAAGCTAAATAAATTATGATATAAACGTAGAACGAAGACTCATGTTCAATGGCCTGGGAAAACACTCACAATAAAATGTTAAGAGAAAAAGCAGAATTCAGAACTGTATATCAAACATGATCTCAATTTTGTTTTTTTAAAAATATTCTAAATGATGCAGAATTGCAATATCTGATGTACAATTAAGTACATGTACTTTAAAATAAAAGCAAGTATTACAAATATAAACCAATCATATTTCTTGGTGGAAGGATTATAGACATCTGTGATTACTTTACTCATTTCTGAATGTTTTACTTTTTTACAATAAGTTTCATTTTAAAATGAGAAAAACTACCTGTTTAAAAAAATTTTTTTAATCTATTCTGATTGTATTGACCACTTCACTTCTATTTTGCTTCTATCAATCTCTATTTCATTTCCATTTATCTCCAACAATGACAACCTTTGGGCATATGATAGAGGAGTTGCTGATGGTGACTAAACATGTGATGTCACTGATTTTGGAAACAGCTATTCAAGGTTAGAATCATAGCCTGTGATAAAAGAGGGGGACGGAAGTGCCTCGTTGGGAAACAGTTCACACACACACACACACACATTCAAGAATTATCCTTTACACACCTACTTAGAGGTGGGGATACAGCAGTTAGAAAATCAGACCCTTTCACTTACCACTAAACACAGAGACTAAGAGTAGATCAACAGTTGCACCCACAGACATAATAACCAACTATTTAAAGTGTTAACAAGGAAAGATGGAGGATGCTATGCATAAGAGCCAAGGAGATGCAATGTGGATTGAAGTTGGTAAGTCCTCTTCGAGGAAGTATGACATTTAAACTGAGATCTTAGAGACTACATTCGATTTAGCCACGTGACGAGTTGGCGGACACATGGACAAATGTTCCAGGAGGAGGGAACAGCATATGCAAAGACCTAGGGGCAAAAATGTACAACTGGAGCCCTCACCTGAATCAGCAACATGCTCTAATCAAATGAGTTAACAAATTACAGAGAGCTCGTGACACGTAATCAAGTTAACACAATACGTTACTTCAAAGGAAAATCATGCTGTTGTGTAGGACTGAGAGGAAATCTACTGTTCCGCACCTTTGCCCACAATAACCGTTCATCATTTCACCAGGAAAAGTCTCATTTGCTCAGTTGACCTTTACGATTCAGCTTCAGACTGCACAGTTGTAAAATGGGTGAAGCTCCCATGCAGCCCACTACTCAGACAATGAAATCTAAAGTAACTGAATACAGACTGCTCCTGGAACTCAAAAGCTCATCTTTCCACCTACTTTGAAAACAGAAAACACAACACATGGAGCTCATCATTTCAAGTGGCTCACAGTAGAATAATATTCAAGGACAAAGAGGAGAAAAGCAGTTGGTAATTAACACTAATCTTAGTTCATGGCGGAAAAAGCCCACTTCTTTCAGTTACTTTCATCACAAGTTTCCTAGACTGTGTATCTTAACAAGCTATTTAAGGCAATCTATAGCAACTGTAAAGTTAGTAAATGGCCCATAAAAAAGCAAGACAAGTGAGACCAGAAACTGAAGAAGAAACCAGCCTTGCAGCAAACTAAACTTTTGAAAAATGGTAAGGCCCAATAAAATAAACCAGCAGAGATAAACACAGTAAATAACCATCAACTAAAACACAGGCTAACTACCAAATTACCAGCAACATAAATATTGCCAACTACATGTATAAAACTTCCATGTTCAAGGTCAGCAAGGAAAAAAAGGATAAGACGATTCATAAAGTAGCAGAAAGTGAGTGAGTAGAGAAAAGTGTAGCCAGCAGGGCACTATGCTTGCAAGGAAAAGTGACCTTTCCTCCCAGGACATGCAGGAGGACCATGTCCTCATCTGAAGATGCAAACCTCATGGAGAATATCTACAGTTATGGCCAGATTCTGCTTCTGAAGCCCCTTCTACATTGTCATGAAGTCAGGCGGAAAAGTGAATTCCCCTAAGTTCATGTTTATTAGGTCTCTATTAAGTTCCAGGTATTATGCTGGGCACTGAGTGAACAAACTAGATTCTGGGTCTGTTTTCTGGAAGCTTATACTCATCTACAGTGAAGCTAAGGCTGAACACAATGAAGGATGTAACCCTGTTATTGATGTCTTCTTACTTTCGCCCCAACGTGACATATTTATCCTCCCAGTTTAATGAATGGAAAGAGGAAGGGAGGGAGGGATAAGGAAGGAAGAGGGAAGGGGTAGAAGATAGGAAGGAAGATGAAACTACTTTCTTTCCATACAATTGATGTCAGCTGGTGAGAATCCCTCACTACCATCTTGGTGTCTTTGCCTTTTTGCATCCAAATCCCAGAACTCTTCATTCAGAGTCTTGTTCTCTCCACCTTTACGTTCTAGAACTCCATTCCCATTCAGAACCTGAAAGCACCAGGAAGGCTACAGCTAATCTCATATACCATTCTATTATAGCATTTAGCTTAGCACTGGAGGAATTAGGTGCTTCAGGAATCCTTGGTGATAACCAGGATGCCATGGCATGCTTTTAGAGAGAGCCACTAGAGAGCCCCACATTCCCTAGACTCTAGTTCCTGTCAGTATAGCCTAGAACTTCATCCAGAGGGTGCACTTATATTGATACCTTCAATACTTCAAGAAGATCCCTTTGTAGTTTGGAGGAAAAAAAATGGATAGTCTCATACAGTACAGCGGGAATGGTGGTGACACGTACAAGCATTCTAGAAGAATC